CTACATATACAAAAAGAGTGTTGAAACGATTCAACATGGACAAAGCAACTCCACTAAGTACTCCTATGGTCGTTAGATCACTAAATGTTGAAAATGATCCTTTTCGACCACATGAAGAAAATGAGGAGATACTTGGCCCTGAAGTACCATATCTAAGTGCAATAGGAGCACTCATGTATCTTGCAAATTGCACTCGGCCCGATATATCATTTGCAGTTAATCTTTTGGCAAGGTTCAGTGCATCTCCTACACAAAGACATTGGAATGGGATCAAACATGTCTTTCGCTATCTTCAAGGAACAATTGATTTAGGATTATTTTATCCTAACAACTCAAAAGGAGAAATGGTTGGTTTTGCACATGCAGGATATTTGTCTGATCCACATAAAGCTAGATCACAGACTGGGTACGTATTCACAATTGGAGGAACCGCTATATCATGGCAATCCCAGAAACAAACACTTGTAGCCACTTCCTCAAACCATGCTGAAATAATCGCTCTCCACGAAGCAAGTAGAGAATGTGTCTGGCTCAGATCAATAAGTCAACACATCCTCTCAAGTAGTGGGATCAACATCAATTCAGAACCGACCATCTTATATGAAGACAATGCAGCATGTGTCGCTCAAACAAAAGAAGGATACATCAAAAGTGACCGAACGAAGCATATTCCACCGAAGTTTTTCTCATATACTCAAGAACTCGAGAAGAATAAAGAAATTGAAGTGAGATATGTTCGATCTTGTGATAATGCTGCAGATTCGACATAATTTGTCGAATTCTTCTTCTATTCTTCTTCTTTATAATTTGTCGAATTCTTCTTCTATATAAAGAGTGTATTGCTCTCATTTGTAAGTCACGAAAGGTATTACATCTTTCGTCTATCTCTTTCTATAATATACTTCTTTATGTATCTCTTTCTATTATTCAATAATATATAGTTACATTTCATAACTAATGAAAATATATAATATACGTATTATAAATAAAATAAAGTAATATAATTATAACANAATTCTTCTTCTATATAAAGAGTGTATTGCTCTCATTTGTAAGTCACGAAAGGTATTACATCTTTCGTCTATCTCTTTCTATAATATACTTCTTTATGTATCTCTTTCTATTATTCAATAATATATAGTTACATTTCATAACTAATGAAAATATATAATATACGTATTATAAATAAAATAAAGTAATATAATTATAACATTTTTAAGTTAAAACCACACTATAAAATAAAATAAAAATGCAACTTGTTGTATAGATAATAATAATCTTTAATTTCTTCTCCAAATTTTGAATATTATTTTGTTTCTAATAAAAAAAATAAAATTCAATTCAACCGTTTCTGCTGTGTGTTGAAATCGCCTTTGTTAAATCTAGGGCTTGGTTTCTCTCAGATTCTTCAGCTTTGAAAAAAAAAATTTTAATCTTCTTTACACTTTCATCTTCGATCTTCCTTTACCTCTAACTTTTCTCTTTCGTTTCATCTCTCCTTCTCAGATCTTGTCTTGAATCGTTGACCCTAAATCTGGGTCCGGCTCAAAATCCGACCTTTCTCCGGCGAGAAGCTCTAAAACTAAGAATTTATAGAAAAGAAAAAAAACGGTTGAATATTTGTTGAGTGCTTGGTTGTGAGGTATGACGCTGACCCAATTTGTTGGGCTCTGAAGTAGTATGGAACTGATTTTCACACCAAAACAAGACTAACATGACACTTTACATTCGTCGTGAATCTTCCAAGGTTTTGTCTTTTTTTTTTTTTTAATCCTAATTCAGCTTCAAATCTGTGGCTGATTCGTTCCTTGTTTTTGTTTTTGTAATATAGCTATGGAAGAGGTTTTGCTCTGAGATAGCGACGGAGATTGGTCTTCTCGTTGAGAACTGGAAGTACCTTCTTGCTGGTCTTATCCTTCAGGTAAAGTCTTTTATTGTTGTTGTGAGCTTCAGATTGAAACTTTACATTGGATCGTTGTGTCTTATGCTGAATGTTAATGATGACTCCTGTATTGTAATACTTTTGAGAGAAAGCTTTTGGCATCTTGTGTGTATGTGGTGCAGTACATTCATGGTTTAGCTGCTAAAGGAGTACATTATATTCATCGCCCTGGACCTACTCTCCAGGATCTTGGCTTCTTTCTTCTTCCGGTTTGTCTCGTTTACATATCCTCACTCTATCTCATCTTATGGAAACAAATGTCTTATTTATTGCTTTTGGTTCCCATTGTGTAGGAGCTTGGTCAAGAGAGAAGCTACATAAGTGAGACCGTGTTCACCACTGTATTTCTTTCTTTCTTCCTGGTGAGTCTTATATGATGTTAGTAATTAATACATTTTTATGTATGAAGGGTTGGTATATTCATCATTATATTCCGATATTGAGCCTTTTATTGCAGTGGACTTTCCATCCATTCATCTTGAAAAGCAAAAAGATATACACCGTTTTGATATGGTGTAGAGTTCTAGCATTTTTAGTTGTAAGTCCCCTGCCTTACTAGTTTACTACTATAGCTTAAGCTTGCTGAGGTTCCTCTGTTTTTGTTAGTTTTGAAGTTTTCCAATGATTCTGTTTTTCAGGCTTGTCAGTTTCTCCGTGTTATAACTTTCTATTCGACTCAGCTTCCTGGCCCAAACTATCACTGTCGCGAGGTAAAGCTACTGAGATCCTTACACAAGGTTGCCTGTGTGTGTCTCTATTGGTTAAGCTTATGTGTTATCACTTCTTTTTGCAGGGATCTAAAGTTTCCACGTTGCCATGGCCCAAAAGCGCTCTTGAAGTTCTCGAGATTAACCGTGAGTCTACATATTGTTCTTTCCACACGCATATTTTTCTTTGAAGATTATCTCATGTGATGTCTCTGGTCTCATCAGCTCATGGGGTGATGTACGGATGTGGAGACCTGATTTTCTCATCGCACATGATATTCACGCTGGTCTTTGTCCTCACTTACCAGAAGTACGGCACTAAAAGGTAAATAAACACTGTGTGTCAAACTCCTTGGGCAATAGTTCCTACATACTTTGAAAATGACATCTCTGCATCAATGTTTTGGCTCAGGTTCATAAAGTTGTTTGGGTGGCTCACTGCTTTCGTGCAGAGCCTCCTGATCATTGCCTCCCGCAAACATTACACTGTCGATGTCGTTGTTGCCTGGTATGGTTTTAATACCACTCAAAAGGTTTACCACAACAACATTTTTAGTGAACGCAAAGATATGCTGACTTGTTGTTTTTGATTCTTTCTCCCTTTAGGTACACCGTTAACTTGGTGGTCTTCTGTCTAGACAAGAAGTTACCAGGTTTTTTATCTCAGAAATGAAACTCTTATTTTTGGCAGAGACTCGGTTTCTCATATCTTCTTTTTTCTTTCACCTCAGAATTACCAGACCGGACTACGGTGTTGCTCCCTGTAGTCTCGAAAGTAGAGAACCACAAGCTGTTGAATGGGAACGGTGTTGATCCTGCTGACTGGGTAAGGCATCTAAGCCTGTTTCTGTTCTCTCCTTCTCAATCTCTGAACCAACCACATAATGTTTCTTTCCATCGTTCTTTTATAGAGACCGAGGACTCAAGTGAACGGGAAGATAGATAGCAACGGAGTTCACACGGATAACTTAATGAATGGCGCATGAAACTCAGCACCAGACAAGATCTATATATGAAAACAGCTAATCAATGGAAGTCATGAAGACGACCAATTGGTCTTTTGATTACTCGAATATGAACTTGAGTTCTGTAAGTGAGGGTAAATATTTGTTTATGGTCTTCCAGAAAAGAACACTCTATAGAGAGAAGATAATTAACATAGCTTTTTAGTTTATCTAATATCTATCTAATCTAACACTATTAAAAACTTTTAATAAAACTTTCTGAAGCTGTCCACGTCAGCATTTATAATCGACCAATAGGAAGGTTCAGTTTTGACATGTCATTTTTGTTAAGCATGAAATCAAGTTTCTAAGTTACTGGGCAACTTCAAATGCTTCGTTCACATCATGCAGACGTTTATCACCATTAACGTCGGTCTCAAGCAATCTTTCTCATTAAACCCCTTCTTTACAGCCACAGTCACGATCCTTTCAACTGTTCCGAATCCCTGACCTTTACTTTATAGAAATCATTTATTTGATACTCTAATCCTCGCAAAATCGGGCAATCTCTTCAATGTCTTCTTAATTTTCTCTTCTCTGATCGCGACCAAATAGGCAATCTCTTCACTATCTTCTTTACTTTCTCTTCAGTCGTATTTCTTGACAAGAGATAGTTGAAATCGTGTTTAACAAGACTAATCGACAAACTTGAGGAATTGGTCGGGGAAAAGAATCCGAAGGATGCTGGCATCTATGGCGTCGTTTGGAATCGGGCCGGTCGGTTCTTCTTCCTTAGCTTGAGCAAATCACTGTGTCGGTCTGAGGACGACTAATAAGAAGAAGATGATGAAACCGTCACTATTTCATACATCGGTCAAAAAAATCTTGAAGAGTTTTGCCAGTGAGATGTATTTTATAAGGAGTAGCTCTATGTTTCTGTGCTTATTGCTTCAAATGGAAAAAAAAAAACAAAGCATTAGTAGCGTATACTATGAGCATTGAACCCTCGTCATCTTCTCCCTCAACCTAACTACATAAACCAAGGGTGAGATTCAGGACAAGAATTCATCACTACCTTAGATTTTGTTTATTTAGTTCTTGAGAATGAATGCTTTTAAAGTTAACCAGATAATTATTTTTTTTTCCACAGGCTGATGAACTGACATAAAGGCGTGCATTTTTATATTTCTTTTACAGTTTTTTTTTGTTTGCTTTGTAATTTAGTTAGTGTTCGTCCAATGTTGAATATGCAGATCAACTATTAAGAAAAAATCATCTCGCATGATGTGTCATAAAGAATATAACGGATGGTGATGATGATGATTATGAGGATTATGACTTATGAGGACAGAAAGAAGTGCATAAAGAAGGTATTATGTGATTAAACGGTTTGTTTATCTTATAAAACTAAAATACGAAATCCGATTTTGTTGGTGTCTCTGTATTTTGTTGCCATCATCAGCTGGGATGGTGGGTTTACTTGGATTTGTTTTGTCTTTCAGGGTCTGCATATTTATTTTTGAATTGATGTGACTAAGATGATACATATTAATGGACTTTCTTTTCAGGATTGTCTGTGCATCTTACTTTTAATTGTTTTCCCTTTTGACAGTTTTGTAACCTTTTAAGGGATTTTTCTTCTACTGAATTTGAGAAATGATTTGTGTAAGATGATTAGCTGAACGTGCTTTCGTTTCTGCACCTTGATTTAAATGTTAGTTTGTTCGTTCTTTTCTGATTGGTTGATTTGTCCATAACAAGTTGCAGATTTTGGCTGGATAACACTCAAGAGTTCAGATGTTTTTGAGTACTTGAGTCTGACATTCATGAAGCGTGTCAAGGTTCTAAGAGAGATCCAGGCGAGATCAACCCCAAGGGTGGACGCAGCTTCGGGAGATGGTGATTCCCTGAAGATGTGTAAGTTGTTTTCATGCCATATGACGTAAGTAATGAGTTACAGAAGAAATTTGAGTACAGTAGAAAATTTGTTGAATAGACAAAATTATTTTGCTTTAAAATAACAGAGTAAGAGAGTATAGATTCCGGCGGAACAGACAGAATTACTGAGAAAACGTGAGACCAGAGACCACAACATCATACATACATTGGAAGAACATGTAATCATGAGTTTTAATTAGACCTGAACATAAAAACAACTCGAAGGAACGTTCATACCCATGAAGACGACATGTCCTTCGTGGGAAGTCTTCCAAGGACACGAGTCATGTAATAGAAGAACACCGAGATATCACCTTTCTGAACTAGACAAGTTTGTAAGGGACTGTTTGTGATGGAACCCGGATGCTGTCCCAGGTAGCTTGAGTCAAAAAAATTTTAACAAAGTGTCTTACACCATTCCTCCATAAAAAACAAGATGTACCACGTGAATCCAGAGGAGACATAACCCCTGTTCGTTTCTTAGCCGCAGCATCAGTGGGGAGCGATCAATTAATATCAAAGGACACGTCAGCAGCACTTTAAATTGCAGCGCCGGTGAAACTACTTTTCAGTCGCAGCGGCAAGACGCAATAACTAAATCCGACGCCGGAAATATCAGCGTCTCCTTTTTCAGTAGCTGCGGCAAAGCTACAATGATCAAATTCACTTTTGAAATCATTCAACTTGTCTCCGCGAAGAGTTATTCTTTGCCGCTACTGCTAGTCGCAGTGGCTAAGAAACGAACAGGGGTATAGTGTACAAGACAATGTCCAGTGTTTAGAAGGTAATGTTTAGAATTTCAGCTTCATCAGGCCTCACGGCCGGTAAAGACTAAGAACCTCTAATCACAGACTCAGAAAGTAAAGCTGACAGTGGGATGTGAAGGTCTCTAAGACCAGTTGTCACAGAGTAGGTAAGAGAGGCCCAATCATTCCACCAATCTTACCAAAAAGTCATCAATCTACCATCTCTAATTGAACATCACAAAATATTTAAGACAATAGGTTTTAAAGATCATACCTCGAACTGTAGGAATTTTTTTTTTCAAATTTTTTAAATTTTTTTAGATATTCTTATTGAAATTCTAAAAATTACCTTTTAAAATTCTAATTTAATTTTAAGTACTTATTTGTATTTTTATTGAAATTCTAAACATTACCTTCTAAAATCTCATCCTTTAAATCTAGATTAGTTATCTCTAATGTTATAAGTGTCTTTTTATCTCTTTACAATCAAAGATAAAAATAATTAAGATAAAAATGGAAAAGAGTATTAAAGAAGTGTTAATTTAAAAAAATTTCCTTATAATAATTGAAAATATTGTTTCAATTTACAGAAATCCACACCAAATAAGTTATAAGCTTATTTATTAAATGTTATCAACATCATATTAGAACAAATTTACAAAAACAACATCTACACATTCTTACAAAATCAAAGTACGAATAAATATTTTTTCTACATTTAAAACATTGGTCACTAATATATATATGTTTAACACGCTAATATTATTTTATAAATTGATATTTTCACTATTTAATAATGCACTGTCAGACAAATCTTAAATGGTGGTTTCAGTTTTAAAACAGTTATCAATAAAAAAATTTATAAAATTTACAGAAATCAAAATATAAATTCATGTGCCTTATTGAACAAATATTTTTTTGTTCTGATGTCTTTACTTATATGAAACTTTGATCCCTAAAATATTTCAAATCTTCCATAGAAGTAAATTTTGCAAAAGATATTGAAAAGGGGTATAACTCAAACTACCTTCATAATTTTACTGTGATAGTCATGTTACTCTCTTTCATTTCATATAAGAAAAACTTATTTAACATTAATATAATTATGTGCAACAGTAGATAAATTCTTAAATCTAAACTAGATTTTGATCCGCGTTCGGAGAGCACAATATTTATGTTTTCATAAAATCCAATTCAAAAAATATAAAGCCGTTACTTTTTATTTTCTTTGTTTCAAAATTTTCGGTGATCTAATTAAGTGAATAATTTTGTAATTATACTATTTATAAAATTATAATACATAGATGGTTTGTTAATTATAGACTAAAATAAAAGTCTAATACTTGCGAGATTATTTAAGGTACGTGATTGATATTTAAGATGATACAAATAAAATGAGATGTTGGGTTTGACACAAATTTCAGTTAAACTACTTTAATCCACGCTTTCAAATTATGAATTTTTTTTTAGATTTTGTTATTTTACTCAACTAATATTTTTAAATTAAATATAATTCTTAATTTTACCAGTATTTTTAATATATTTCTACTTGATTTATTTGCAAGGCTTTAATCTGAACCAAAGATTCTATCTTTCTAATCAGTTTTTCACTGATACAATTTCATTTTTTTGTTTATTATGGATTTATGTTACTATGTTTGTTCAATACTTGTAAATTTTATTTTTATATAAATATTATAATTAAAATAATCAATACTTATTGAGGTGATAAAATTCATTTTTAAATATGGACATATAAATATTTTGTATGTTTTAAAGGAAACCTATAAAATAACTGTAGTAGTAAGAGTAACTATGAGTTGTCCAACATTGAAATAAACTTCTATAATCGAAATTAAGGGTAACATTTCAACCATATATATAATTTTAATAAACTTGTGTAAGGAAACAAATGTATGTTTACCAATAAGTTGATGAATGTATCCTATTATTACTGAGAATAAGTTTATATTCTCTAAGTTGTTAGATATATTAAAAAAAAATCTTCTAAGATATAAATATTTTATATATGAAAATCGAATACAAAATATATTGGCGCAGAAGCGTATAGTTTTTTCTATATAAATGATTTAAATAGTGATAGCAGTTAACTGTTAAAAAAAGTTAATTATTGGGAAGAAACGTGAAATAATTAGGTAATGGGTTCCAAGAATCTAACTATATTTTAACTAAGTTTGAATTATAAATAAATGGTACTGGCTGTACTGTAAAAGTTTTGCAAAATTAAAAGAAGATTTCAAAAAAGTATTATATTTTAATAGTATTGACTTTTTTATACCAAACAAAAATTGTATAAAAGTAAAAATATTAAGTTGTAAATGATCAAATAAAAATAATTATTCTAGGAGTAAGACAATAATTTACATATGACAAAATATGACAAAAACTACAAATTTAAAAATAATTATCCGCGTGTAGCGCGGAGAAACGATTTAGTAAAACATAATTGCACATGAATCTTGACAAACAGAATCTTATATTTCTTTCTTTGTAACTACAATAAATTATGCTGTTTGAAAATCAAGAAATTTTATAAAAACAATTAAAAGTGAGAGAAAGATATAGGAAAAAAACAATAGGTAACTTCCATTTCTTATGAAACAATCACGTTAATCTTTTTTTTTATGATTTTAACTAAGACCTGATATAAAAATTCTGACAATAATTTATGAATTAATTATCAAAAACTCTTTTACAATTTTTTCCACATAACATATAATTTCTTTGTTTTTTCAAGATATATATCATCTCTTCTTTTGTAACAATCCACATAGAGAATAAAATCATCTTTGTGTTCATAGGATCAAAATATAGATTCTCATGAGGAGACTAATCGGAAAGACAATTACTTGATCAAAAGGACAATATGCTTATGCTTAATGGCCTAATAATTTATATGAAAAAGAACATCATGTTTCAACAGTTCATAAGCATTTATTCAACTATAACCAGTAAGAACTCAAATAAACATAACTCAGAGGGATCAATGTACTAAGAGAGAAGATTTCATGATTGTCTATGTTTCTGGTATTTATCTCAAACGGCGCTCAAGTTATATATCCACAATTTTCCTTGTTCATGTTTATACCTCTTCTTCTTGTTTGTTTGTTTGTTTGTTGAAGATTAATCTAGTACTTAATCATTAAGATCTATTAGACAAGACTAGACAAAGCTTTTTACAATTCTTTGCAAAAAGCATATATACTTCATCTACAAATCTTCTTTGGTTTTGCAAAGTCAATCACTATATTTAGAGCTTGTAATTATTTCAAGTAACGTAGATCCAAGTTTCCATTAGTTAAATCTTTTACTATAGTGAAGTATTACTCCCTATGTTCCATATTAATTGTAATTTTATTTCATTTTAATATTTTTATTATAAATATTTTTATACATACTTAAAATAAAAATAAAAATTTACTCTTATTTTTTGTCCATTAGATAATAAATTCAAAAAAGCTTATATTTAATTAATAAGGATAAAATAAAAAAAATTACTAATTTTCTTAATTTGTAAGCAAAAACTTTATAGCACACATGAAACGTCGTGAGTATTTAATTTACAATCAGTATCTAAAACATAGAAATCAATTTAAAAATGTTACTCTTAGAGGTAACTAAATAATAAAGGAATTATGTTATTACAAAACAACTAAAAAATGTTTTGTATTAATTAATACAAATCACCATAAGTAACATTCAAAACCACTTGATTACTATATTTATACACTTATAATTCATGGTAATAGGAGAAAACAAAACAATTCAAAGAAGAAGTTAAAAAAAAATAATCATACATAATGGAAACTAAGACAATTTTTATGGCATTTTTCATAATCACCATTTTAGTATCATATGCATATTCATGTTTGGTCAAAGAAGATTATGATGATGAACCACTGGTCAATCCCAGTGGCGAGTTTGATACATTGGATGTGATATCGCCGGTTTACAGAAGATTACAATACTTACATGCTAGAGAACATACACAAAAATACGTAACGTATCTTGACACATGCGTTGACAAGATGGGGCCTAGTGGTATTGTGGAATGTAATGATGATGTTCTTAGAGAGATTCTTACGAATAAGCTTGTTTCAAGAGTCTTGTTTGAAAGTAGTAAGAGCTGGAAAAGAATACCATATGGAGATTAGAAAGTTAATGTTTCGATTTTATCAACTCAAACGTCTTGATTCTCAAGTTTCTTTCAGAATGGAAGAGGTTTGGAACAAATGTTCTACCGAAATTAGAAGTCATTTATCCTCTCACGACCATGCGATTTAGTTATCTTGATTGGATCTTTTATTATATTATATGATGTATTATGGAATAATGGTATGTTTACCATTCTAACTATATGAATAAAGACAAATTTTCATCAGTTTAATTTTTTCCCCAATTCTAATGTGATATAAAAACTCTAATGTGATATCTTGAGTTTTTCTAACTAGCATTTGTTTAGCGTAATCTTTTAGTTTAACAAATTCAAAACACAATTGCACATGAATCTTGTTAAAAAAAAAATTGTATATTGCTTTCTTTGTAGCTCAGATAAATTATGTTATTTGAAAATCAAATGAATTAATTAAAAAAAATAAAAAAAATTAAAGAACGGTATATGGAAAATATAATAGCTAACTTTTCATTTTTGAAAGAGTCTACGAGATCACACAATGTTCCTTCACTTCCCAAAAGAATCAAACACATGTATTTATTCAACTATAACCAACATGAACTCAGGTAGACATAAGTTTAGAGAGGTCAATGATTCAAAAAAAAAAAAAAATTCCACTCTTGTCTATATCCTTGACATTTATCTTATATTAGGTGATTATCGTCTACTCATTCATGGATATAAATATTTATAAATAAATATATTAGAATACTTAATTAATATTCTATTTTCAGTTGTAAATCATTTTAATTTATATGAATAATTTGTTATAAATAATCATTTCTTATTTTAATTAGACATGTAATTCTGAATATATAATGTCTAATCAGTTGATTAATATTTTTTTCTTTATTAATATTTTTGAGTCATCTAGTAATATAAAGGTATAAAAGTAGAAAAATATTATAAAATAATATGTTATTATTTTAGTAAGAGTTTTTATTTTAGATATAATAAATTGGATTAGTTGAATTACTCATTTGTGATTCAAGTTAAAAAATTGTTTAAAAATAAAATTGCAGATTTTTTATTGTAATTAAGCTGAATCGAATTAATTTTATTTATCTAAGTACTGTTTTGTAGTATTATTAATTATTTTAGGGTAAAAATATATAGAATAAGAGGGATGATCAATAGGAATATTATAAATGAACACAGATGATATAGTTTGAATATTACTTATGTTGCTTAAAATTAAGTTTTAAAGGGAATATTATTTATTAATAACAAAATTATTTTTATGAACTCACATTATATATAACTATAGTCTCATTTCATCTACAAAAATAGACACTAAACTAAATTTTTAATTAAATAAATTACTAAATAAAAAATTAGCAAAGGTACATTAATATACTTTTAAAGGTGTCTTTGTAATTAGTCGTCATAATAACTAATGTAAGTGCGGTAATTAAAAAAAATGATTTCTCAAATAATCTTATAGAAATGGCATTACCATTTACAAGTTATATATCTACAAGGATAACAAAGTCAAGTCCACAAAAAAAATATTTGCTCCCCAAATAAAAATATACTCCTTCCGTTCCTAAAAGATCTATGTTCTGGAAAGATATTTTGTTTCAAAAAGATGTATATTCTATGTTTTCTATGAGAAAATTACAAGTTTCAAAAAAAAAAAATTGGCTTTATTAGATTACCATTGGCTAAAAATTGTTGAAAATTGAAAATTACTGAAAATGATAGTGATTTAATGTGTTTTTTTAATATATGTGAAAACACTAGAAAGTGTATCTTTTAGGAAGATGGAGTATAGTACAATAAAGGTCCATATAGCCCAATCAAAAAGTAAACTGTATATTTTTGTCACTAAAAGTATGTAACTAACTAAACAAGTACATAAGAGACCCTAATTTTATAATCAGCAAATTTAACAATATTACAAAATCCAAACTCACTTAAGATCTAAGAAAAAAATCTTTAAATAAGTTGACTACTACTCGGACTATACTACTGTATGTACACTCAATAGAGAAAAATATAACACGTTTTTAATGTCAATTTTGTTACAAGAAACTGTCCTAATCTCTGAATATCTTATGCTTGTGTGGTAATGAACATATTTATTTAATTGCAAGAGTAAATGTTTTTTTGGGATGTTTGTTTATATATAAAGAATCAAAAACTCAATTGATATTATAGTACAATATAATGTGTTGTTTTTTATGGACACATTTTTTTTAACACAGTACAATGTGTTGTTTGACTGCAAAGATTACTATATAAGACATAAAGAGGTTTCATGAAGATGATGAAACATGGAAATGGAAGAGCCAAGATATGAAGAAGCCAAAGACCATACAAGCTAACACTATATTCACCAGTCTCTGCGGCTGCCATCTGTTCTCTATCGCTCCTACAGCTGCCGTTTCCTCACGGCCTCCACCGTTTCTTAACTCTCTCTCGTCCACCACCGTTAACATAACCATCTCGTTGGCACCGCCCACGTTTCGAGCTACCGATTGGCATATCTCGCATATTCTGTTTCAATAAAGAAAATATGTTAAATTTTCCTATAACCTAGCAAGATTTTGTGTTTTATGCTGACAACATGTTACATGTGCATATGATCCATCAACACAAAAAAATAAACAAAGGGAAATATATGCATTATTTGGCTCATAATCAGGGCCAATCTTGATCATTTGGATTCTAACTTCAGTACAAATGTTAATAAATTATTTCATAATTGAAGACCATCAGAATATATATATATTAGCTCACTAAACCGACCCTGCTCATAATTAAAGGTGAAATAGCTTAGCAAATATTTTGGTGCTTAAAGTAATATAATCCTTTGAAAAAGTAATATATAATACTAAGAATGTCAAACTCTTCTGTTTTTATTGTAAAACTAATCTTTAAGTTGATAAAATGTTACATAAAACTAAAGAAATCAATAAAGAGATCAAACTTCTTAAATTCATTTTAAACAAAAAAAACAATAACTTAAGAGCAAGAAGAAAGCAATAACAAAAACCCCTAAGGATATTATTGACAAAGGATTTTTTATCAAAAAAAACTAAGAATACTAACAGGACTCTTGATCTTTTTCTTAAAATAGTTAAGAACTCAATAAATAAAAGTAAAACCATTTAATGAAAGAAAAATAAAGAAAAGAGAAGTAGTAATAATACTAACTTGTTGCCTTTGATCTTGAACCAAGTTTCAGCACATTGTCTATGAGCAACAGCCAAATCGTCCTTACACGAACACCCTAACTCTATCGCACCTCCACCGCTCGTTTCCACCACCCCTAAGTGACATATCCTACAGTCTTTCTCCGGCGGCGCCGTCGCTTCCCCATCATCCATCTCCGATGAACTATGACTCATCACCGACGACACTTTCCTCGACTCTCCTCCTTCGTATTCATACGTCCCTCCCGTAGTCGTCGAATAGAAGTAAGAGTAGCATGACATCACATCTTCCTCTTCCCCGTCTGAATAATATACGCTGACGTCACTTCGCCGGTGATATCCGTACGCCGCTCCTTGTTCTAAATCGATCTCTGTCATTGTTACTAAACTAGAAGATGTTTTTTTTTCCCTAATGACACATTAATAGAATTGAAAGCATTTAAGGAAATGTATTTTTGGTGTTGGTGGATTTGGTTTGGTGACTTCCTCCAACGTAACAACTACAAAAACATTTCAAAATTATGATTATAATAACGAAAATGTAAGAGGAGTGAGTGATGGTAATGGAGCAGGAAAAAAAAAGAGCATGAGAAGAGAGTGAAAGTGAAACTGTATTTATGAAGGAAGAAGATATTTATTTATAATAATTTTAAAAAAAGAAGAATAAGTGACGGATTAAAGTGAAAACAAAGAACACGTTTGTTCAGAGTAGAGATTCTGTACGTTGGATGGTACACCGTTTAAGCGACGTATCCAACGGCTTAAACGGGATCAGAGGATTATCTCTTCCAGAAAGCAATTTCATAATTGTATCAAGAAGTGAAAATCCGATTCGGTCCTCGATTCTTGTTGAGAAACAAGCATAAATAGAAATTACGCAGGGGTAGTTTTGTCATTATATGGAATTTCCAGTTTTGGATATACATTGACCCATTCCCCCGCCTCCGACCGATTTAATCACGGGCAGATCTCAATTCGAATGATTTGTACTTTGTACCATGGTGAAATCTACAGTAGGGTGGGGTATGTACTCTCTCGGTTTTGAGTCATCTTTTTTTTTGTAGGAGCTGTTGTCTTCTTTATTAGGAGAATTTAATGGAGTCATTAACCAAGTTGGATAAAGTTTTAGTTTAAATATAATTACATTAATCTCAACATCAGATGCATATTTCCATTTTGTCATGTATATATTGTTGGATTAGCATGAGATTTTGGGTATTTTTTTCCAAATGAAACAACAAATCTTTCTCCATATTGTTATATCACTCTCAGATTATCTTGCTTTTTGTTTTTAGGCATTTAAACTCATCCTCGGTAACTAGTTCCTCCACAAGTGGAGATTTACCAGTTTTCACAACAAACATTTCGGAAGTCGTATGTACCCACTAATCTTTGATGAAGTTAAAAATGTTACATCAACAGCAAAACTTATACTATAAAATGTTACTAGCCAAGAAAACAGTTTAAAATAAGATTAAACTTTTCTTTTACGAGGAAGAAAAAGATATATGTCAAACAAGCAAGGAATGTATTTATGCTTAAAGCCATACAAATTAAAACTAAAAAGAAATAGGAATCTCATTTCCACGTCAAAATGTTGAACCAGCAAAGGAAGAAAAGAAACAAAGAAACAAAAAGAGTAAAAACGAAGGTTGATAGAGAAGATACAAAAAGAAAAACAGCAGTTTATCATTATCAAGTTGGTGGGTCTGGTTCTGATGAACAAGACATACCTATTCTTGTTTCTTATATTTGGAATTTTCTTATATCAGAGATATTTAAATAAGCTCATTATCTTATTTGGGAGCTAACAAAAGCATAAGCTTTGATGATTTGTTATCCATATTAGGTGCTCTAAAGAGGCGGTCAAATAATTGCTTTTGACTAATTCTCATATATATGATTTAGTATTTATATTTTCAGGTTTTCAACTTTTGATGTAGTTACCAGTTAAATTCAAATTAAGAATATTTAATATGTTATTCACGAATAATAATATTTTTTATGTCTTGACCAGAAGAAATAAATCACATTTTATCTTATATATCTTAAATAATTTATCTGTTACTATAAAGTAGAGTTCCCTCACTTTTGAGGGCTCCACGTCAGAAAATAGAAGAATTATAAGCTGACACATGTTTCTCTTACTAAACAAATTCTTGCTTTCATATGATTTCAGTTGGGCTTAAATGCATAAAATGTTTTAGGCTTTCAATTACGTAATGTATAGGCGGAGAATAAAGAAAATTTTGGCCCATTCTTCCCCTTCAACTTCTTGTGACTAACCGACATTCAGTTTTAGGATTTGTCATCTCCAGCTCAAACTAATTAGGGCTACCAAAAATGGGTTTCTGAAAAGTAGTGTGAGATGAATCTTCTTGAGTAATAATTGCATCTATCTTAGTTCATGGCGTTTCGTTTGTGATTCGTCTCCTCAAAGGTGTTACAAGTTGCTTTGATGCGACACCATTTAGAAGATATTAAAAAGGTAAGGCCTCACAAATTATCTCTTCTCTCTATATCAACTTTACTTAGGGTTTTGTCGCCATACCCAAAAGGTTTCTCAATTCCAGTAGACACGAAAGACTATTCCCAAAGGTAAGAACTTGATTTCTTTGTATTCTAGATCTTCATGATAAACTGATTTATCATTTTTAGAATGTCATAATTGGCTTTACCATTTATACAGGAAACTGCAAATATGTTTGCCCATGATTAAACCCGGAAAGCAAACCATGTTTAAAAATCAGGTTCGATTAGCTACTGTCTGAACATGTTTCAGGATTACAATCGACGGCAGAAGTTTACCTCAGAGATTTGTCTCAAAGAGATCTAGCGTGTCTCTGATTTTTGTTAGGGATCAAACCTGTGCGACTCAAAGATGTTAAAAGTGAGTGAGATTACAGAACTTAGCTATTGAGGATGCATTATCTGTAACAGAGCTTCAAAGTCCTTCTTTTTATGGACATCAGCTTGAAAGTCCATAACTTGGAGCTGTAACTTTGAGGATTGGCCTGAGGTTTCCATGAGAGGAGAGTTGAAATTTTATGTATTTGAAGAGACATGGATGAAAAGAAAGCGGAGCAGTTTAAGAAGATGAAGGAGAAGGAGAAGAAGAACAAACATTGGGTAACTTGGGTTTCTTTATGAGTCTCATATGCATATGTATGAGAGACGTTGTTTTGATATTTGTTTAGCTTTGTAGAGACTATTTGTAGATCTCAGGCCTTACAGGACAGAAGACGACCAGAATTAATTTTCTTTTCCAGGCTCACCAAAATGGTGCGATTGGCGAATTGGATAACATATCTCTGAGGATTGGCATCACATTGCACCTGCCCCCTTCTCAAGGATTTCTCTCGACAATTTTCCAGAAGCTAATATGTCCGGAGATGTTTACCTGAGGTATCCATGAGAGGAGAGTTAAACTTTCTTTATGAATATGATGAAACATGGGATGAAAATAACAGAGGATAAGAAAATGGCGAAGAAGAAAAACAAAAATTGGTAACGTGGGTGTCTTCATGAGTCTCATATGCATATGTATTTGAGAGGTTTTATTAATACTAGGTTAGCTTTGTAGGCTCACATGTTCAAGCGATTACATTCACAGGTTGGCTTTGATTAAATAGTGAAGTTAAAATTTGTCAGGGAAAACATTGCAGATGTTTATAACTTATTACTTAAATGTACAGTTCACAGGTTGGCTTTGATTATATAATGAAATTAAAATTTGTCAAGGAAAACATTGCAGTTGGTTTATAAATTAAAACTGACTTTTGCTTGCTTCTTTCTCAACATGTATCTTCATCTCGAAAACGTCGGATGGCTACAAAAAGCGACCTTCCCACTACAGTCAATAAAAAGATTGAAAGGCATATATGTAAATAGGCACGACAGTTCAGATTACTTACTTTGATCTATTAAGCTTACAAGAATAGATAATTTATTCTTTTTGTGTTCAAATATACATGCATCTCGGAATGAAGTGAATGATCTAGAGATTGACTTAGCTATGATGCATTTGAGAGATGAACCTTCTTGTTTTAGCTATCACTCATCAAATGAAAGCATCTTCCCATAGTTATTTTGAATGTTGTGTTTTGCCAAATAGTGTAAAAAAATATGTTTTAGATTTTTTTTGTCTCGATTGTAAGGAATTTTCCGGCAGATATAAGAATATATTATATCATTTATGTATGTTTTATAGGATTTTATTCTTCTTGATGAAAAACAAAATATTCATATTTTGTCTCGATTAAGGTATTCATATTGTCTAATCCACCAGTGTTAGTTAGAAAGCTGCAAGGTAAGGACTCAGCAAGGAGAGTAACGACATTTTCTTTGATTATGTAATGCAACGGCAGATAGAGTGATAGAATCAGCTCTCTCCTCTCTAACATTGACCTATCTTTGTGGTGGGTAATGTAAACTTTCTTACATTCTTAAAAGCATATAGCAAAATCTAACTAATTAATAATGTCATAGTCCAAATCTAACTAATTAATAATGTCATAGTCCAAATTTTTGTCGCACCAAAATGAAACACAAAATTAAAATTGGTGGTCACCAGTACATACACATTCTCCATAAACTATAAATACCATATTCCCACAAAAGTACATATAGTATAACAAGAAAATATACAACGATCAACTCATCATTTCCTTAAGCTTCAACACCAATCATCGTAGTAAGAAAACATTAAACAAGCAACGTTGTAGTATCATGAGCAATAATAATTTTACACAGCCACAAAGATCGGCTCCAACTAAAAAACATTGGTCCATGTAAGAACACAAAACGAGCAACCAATATCAAATATTGGTCCAAATTCGAGCTCGAACTCCTGTACAAGAAAGTCAAAATGTTGGTTGCGTTATGGAAAACCATAACAATCAAAAAATTCAGTGCAGACAATGAAAAATAATGAAATTACAAGCAACACAAATCCTAACAAAAGATAGATATAAAACAAAATATGTGAGTATTCATTGTTAGCTCAAAATTTGAGTAAATGAAAACCCAAATCTCCACAACTACAACTAAAAAATGTATAGTAAAATAGATAGTTGAAATGGTTGTAAGAAATTTATAAATGTCAATGTTACTTTTAGTTAAAATATATCAAACCTTAAAATAAATTGTAGCGATTTTCTCTGATTTAAGAAAAGATTATATCATTTATGTATGTTTTATACGTATGATATTCTTCCTAATGAAAAACAAAGTATTCTTAATATTTTTGTCTCGATTTTAAGGTATCCCTATTGTCTAATTTGCAGGTGTTAGTTAGAATGCTGCAAGATAAGGACTCACCAAGGAGATTAGCGGTATTCTCTCTGATATTTACCATTTCAGAAGCTTCTTTAAAGCTTGCTCTTTTTATACTATTCATAGATTATGTAATGCATAGGTAGATGCAGTGACAAAATCAAATTATTACAAATTATTTAAAATCAGGAATATTAGTACAAAATATTCTGATATAAAGTGCTAATATATTCTTATCCGTATATTGGAATTTTATTGTCTTTTAACGTAGTTGTAGAAACAACGATGCAT